TCACCCACTCACCGTTGGAGGTGAAGTAAAACACCATGGCGGCAGCTCTTCAGCCCGCCCGGCCCGGAGCTCCACACAGTCACCGCTCTCCCGCTCCAGCAGCGCCTGACGACCGGGCCGGGGGGAGAGAGGGGGGAGAAGGGGAGCACTGCGCACGCGCAAGAGCAATCCCGCATGCGCAATACGCTGCGAGTGGTCTTTTCCTCCCTCTACGCATGTGCTAACTCTCCGGGCGGTGAAGCCAGAAAGAACATTGCGCATGCGTGCAACTCCTGGGCGATGAAGGCACGGCACGTCTTGCGCATGCGCCGTACGCCCGAGCAGCGGTGGCACTCCGCCTCGCACATGCGCAACGCTACAGTGCGCCCCTTCCCGCCTTCGGCGCATGCGCGAAGCTCCTCTTGCTGAGGATTGGGGGGGCGCAGTGGGCTGAGGGCGCAGTTTAATTTAATTTTATTTTAATTTTTTTCTGGATACCCGTAGAATCTGCCTGAAAACCAGGAAAGGACCTTAGCGGGGGCGTCCACCCCTCCGCCCTCAGGCCGCAGCGTCCTCCTCGAGGGGTGTCGCTGCCGGCATTTTCTGAGGCTCCAGGTCGAAGGCAAAGCGCAGAGAAGCGGCATCGCTTGCTGAGGAGGGAGAAAGGGGGTGCTGCTCAGTGGAAGAAGAAGAAACCTCCCTTGGCTTTGTGAATGATTTTTGTCTTTATTGCCGCGGCTTTCGCCCGTCTTCCCCTTCTCACCGGGGTTTTACTGAGGGAAGTGGGTTTTATAAAGGAGCAAAGGCCACAGGCAGAGGCCGAGGCCGGAGTTTCAGATCAGTTTACACCTTTCCCAGGTGAGAGGAGACACAGGATCTGCTGCAGTTGGATTCACAGCAAACTGTGTAGCCCAGGGCAATGGAAGTGCTTTGCGGCCTTCCTCGCGGCCGCATCCAGTTCATTTTTGTGCCTCCCAGCTTGTTCTGCGTTCTGGGGTTTTGCTTTTCACTTGCAAGTAACCCGCGTTTACGGAGGATGCTCTTCACAGCAGGGCCCTGATGGTCCATTTAAAAGCAGAAGCGCTGTTGAGCACTACCTTAACCTTTGCAAATGCCTCTCAATTCACTCCATCCCTTGTTATGCGCAAGCTCTCCCTCCTCCCGCTTTGAGCCCCGCGCGTTCCCGCAGTACGGCGCACGGACTACAACTCCCATCAGCCCCCGCGCGGCCGCGCCTCAACCCAGCGTGGAGGCGGCGCTGTTCTCGCCAGGCACGCTGGGAGTTGGAGTCTCTCTGGGGGGATGTGGCGAGCTCTGCCATCTGATTGGCTGGAAAATGGGTGGGGCGGGTGCAAAGCGGCGCGCCGCACTTAGGCCAATG